TCCGCCCCCACCCCGCGCCCCAGGTGAGCCCCGCGGTCTCGGGTAAGGCTCCGCGGTGCAGGTAAGATCCCCTCGGCGGAGAGGAGGCCTCCGCGCCCCAGGTAGGAGCACCTCCCCTCCCAGGCGCCCCTCCGCCTTCACAGCGAGGCCTCGTGCCTCCTCCAGGCAAGGGACCCTCTCCCCAGGCGAACGCCTGCCTCGAAATAGCCTCACTCGGTCCAGAGGAGGCCCTAAGCCCGCACGCTCCCCTCAACAGGTCACTGACAGCCCACCCACAGTAAAGCCCCTTCCTCCATCTCCAGATGCCAGGTCAGCAGGGGTGAGGCCCGTGGCAGGTGGGTGACTCACCTGGAGCTCTCTTAGCCTCAGTTTCCCTGCTGATGCAACCTGGCACCTCATCACTGAGCCAGAACTGAGACTGGTCCCCAGTGAGCCTGCTGGCTCCGGGGGAAAGGAGAGAGCAGCCAAGTGTGACAGAGCGTCCTCGTGGAGCTGGGCGTGCCTGCATGTGTGGCCCGGGTCCTGACAGCCCACCATTCCCTCCCTGGCAGGCGCTGGGCTCCCTCTGCTCCCCGTGGGCCGCTCCCCGCGTGGGGCCACTGCCCCTGGCCCCCGCCATGGTGCGGATTTCCAAGCCCAAGACGTTTCAGGCCTACTTGGATGATTGTCACCGAAGGTACAGCTGTGCCCACTGCCGAGCTCACCTGGCCAACCACGACGACCTCATCTCCAAGGTAACCAGGACCCAGCCAAGGCTGGAGTGGGAGGCCAGAGGATGTCTCAAAGCTCCACACCAGTACTCTGACCGCCCCACCCTCTCCACCCCTGCCTTTCAGTCTTTCCAGGGCAGTCAGGGCCGTGCCTATCTCTTCAACTCTGTGTGAGTATTTGGCCTCCCTCCTTTCTTTCCTGGCTCCCTGTTGTGATCTGGAATCACACTGAGACTCCCAGAGTCCCCTGGCTCAGGCTGGAAGCCGTGTTCACCCCTCTCTTGGATGCTAAAGATAGACACAAGCTTGAGGGGGGTCTGTGATGGCAGGACCCGCCCTGGGACTGCCCTATGTCCCTGCAGGGTGAACGTGGGCTGTGGGCCAGCTGAGGAGCGAGTGCTGCTGACCGGCCTTCATGCTGTCGCTGACATCCACTGCGAGAATTGCAAGACCACTTTGGGCTGGAAATATGTGAGTCAGCCCTCCCTGTCCCCCATCTCACCTTTGACCTTACTTCACATTGGTCTCCCAGTGACCTTGCAGACTGCAAAGACTGAGCACAGACAGGTTGCACTGTCTTCACCCCAACCATGATCTCTTCTCTCAAATCCCACAGATTTTTCGCTTAACCATCCCATCCCTCAAAGGAGCTAACATCCCTATCTTAGAGATGAAGATACATGCAGAGTCACCATTTAGTGATACTCACATGCCGTACAGTTACGCACTTGGCATATACTCTTATTCAATCCTTACAGCAGTCCTATATGTAGACTCTGTTACATCTGTTTTACAGAAGAAAACAGAGATGTTAGGCAACTTGCCCAAGATCACTCAACTGGTAACAGAATAAGGATCAGAATCTTAATTGGCTGGTTTGTTTTTTACTTCAGCCATTGGCCAACAGCTTGTCATTCAGAGGATCAGAGAAGTTCCCCAAGACTCCACAGCAACATGGGACTGGGGTTCCATGGGCCTCCTCTCCTATTTCTCTTTTTGCTACTGCTGCTGTCCAGGATGTGATTTTGTTACCCTGAGTCACAGGTCTTTATCTGACATTGAAGGATAAAGCCACCAGCTGGCTCCCGAGACTGTTGCAGGGATCAATTTAGATGTTCTTGGGACTCTGCAAGGGACAGGAGTGCTGTCATTGCTTGGAGTGCCTCCCTTCTTGAGGTGGATGCCAGAGGCAGACAGACGTCCCCAACCTGAGTTCACCTCTGGGCCTGCCACAGATCCGCTATGTGTCTGGATAGGTGGTATGGCTTCTCTGAACCACTGTGAAATAAAGGGTGGCCTCATGAGGTTAAAAACCCAAGTGCTGGGCCAGGGATGGAGCTCAGTGACACCTCGCCTGCCTCACAAATGCAAGGTCCTGAGTTGGATCCCTGGTATAAGAACAAAAACAAAAAAGAGAGAGAAATAAAAACCCAAGTGCCTGCAAAGCTAAGCAGATATTGTGGATTTGTAGAAGTGGGATTTATAGATTAGGGAGTGGGGAGACCAGGCCAAGGCAAACAGGAGTGAGCCTCCATGCCCATAATATAGTATTTTACATGTTTTTATTTTTGTTTTGTGGTTCTGGGCCTGAACCCAGGGCCTCGTGTGCACCAGGCAAGTACTCTGCTGATGAGCAACATCCCCGGTCCCTAAGGTTATTTTTATTAAACTCTCTACTGTCTAGACAAAACCACGTGGAGGCTAAAATGGCCCTCAGGCCACCGATGTGTAATACCTGGACTGAAATCTTTTAGGCATTTTCATATCCTCTCTGTTGGAGCTGTCATTAATGTTTAAAAGCATGAGTGAGCTGGACATGGTGGTGCACACCTGTGTTCTCAGCACTCGGGAGGCTGAGGCAGGAGGATCACCACAAGCTCAAGGCCAGCCTGGGCTACAAAGTGAGACCCTGTCTCATTAAAACAAAACAGAAATAACAACAAAGGCGATGCACAGTTCTTTCCACTCCCGGTTAGTGAGAAACACAGCTCTGTGTCTGTGGGCAGATAGTTTGGATTCTCTGGACTTGTTTCTTCATATGTAAAATGAGGCCAGTCATATTCTCTGCCCAAGCCTTAGGCCTTTGAGGAAAAGCTCTTACCCAGCGATGACAGACCCTCCCCTCCTTTCAGGAGCAGGCTTTTGAGAGCAGCCAGAAGTACAAAGAGGGGAAGTACATCATTGAACTCAACCACATGATTAAAGACAACGGCTGGGACTGACTCCTGCGCCTGACGCATGTGGCTCTGGCCTGGCCTGGCCACAAGGGTGCGCCACCGGGTTCCCTCTGCCGAAGGGAGCTCTGAACCCCTCAGGGCCCCCTGCAGAAGAAGGATCCGGCACCTGTACATATATTTTATTGCATGCACTGTGACCTTGGGGGGAGATCAGAAGGACGACGACACCCCCCGCACCTCCCTGTGATCTGGCTGGCTTGGATCTCGTTTTTAACCCTCTCCTGCCCCGCCTGCCCTAAAGATATGGTCTGTGTGCTGCTTTCTCGGTCCCAGTACACCGTCTGCCCTGTGAACTCTACTCCCGCCGGACCCCTCTTACCCCTCGCGCGTCTGTTCCCCTTGTTCTGTAGCGTTTGTACATAATAAAACAATGGAGTGCAGACAGTCCCGGGCTCACGTGCAATCCGGGAAAGGGAACTCCAATCCAGACTCCTTCCCCTATATATAGACTGTTCTGTTCTGAGCGTCAGCGGGGCAGGGTAGGCACTGCCATCCAGGTCTCTACCGCCTGTGGAGGTCCTGGAGCCCACCCTGGCCCCTAGGCTTTGACCTCAGCTGATCTGCCTCTTCCTGGCTTTAGTACTTGGCCGCCGCCTAGGGGCAGCTCTGGAGAAAGGCCTCCGGATTTGAGGATTCGCCGACTACAACTCCCAGCGGCTCTCGCGCGGTTTGTTGGTCTCCCTTAGCGCCTCGGCGCGAGGCGTGCGGGGAAATGTAGTTCCGAGAATTCCCAGCGCCGGCCTTGGGAGGAGGACGCTGCGGGAGACGTAAACGACAATTGTGTTGGGCAAGCCCCGCAACTTTTGAGGCTTGGTAGAGGATGCAGGGTTTTTTCAGAATGGCAACCAAGGAGGACGCCAAGATTCTCTGCAGCGGACT